GTGTTTAACAACAAAACTAAATCAAAACATTAATTTATCAACAAGGTGTAAACTCAAGTCACAAATTTGATGATGTTAAACTCGACAAAATAAAAAAAAAGACTTGCAACTTGTCTTGTACTTTAGCACCAGTGACTCGTGACTTCTCTTGGACTTGAGCCTTTTGATTTGAAAATGCTTGATTCCTTCTCAGAAGCCAGTTTGAGATTTTTTTCCCAATATGAGATGAGTTAAATACAACAAAATGTATTCAGTCTTGGTCATAGACAATGGTGCTATATGCTATGAAAGTGTAATGTTAGCACTGTTTTTTATGATTAAGTCCAGTCGCACTTGTTTTAACAAATAAATACAATTTCTTAAGAAGCATTCAGAATTTTTGTAAATGTAACATATTGTTACGCTTTTGTTAAAATAGCATTAGAGCACATTATGACTTGTTTAGGACTCAAAACAAGGGCTGCAGTGATATACCTGTTTATGGTATACCATGATAATAAAGTTGATAGTTATCATTTTTGTTTTTGTTATTTTTTTTATTTTCAAAGGGGAGACTTTTTACACATACTTCCATTAACAATATGGTTTCAACTGAAGTAATAAAATGTTTGTTAAACCAACAATAACTCTTCATACCTTGATACCGTGAAATCGCAATATTTTCTGAGACGGTTATCGTACTGTGAAAATCTCATACCGTTGCAACCCTACTCGAAACTCAAATTTTAGGACTTGGGACTTGACAACGTAGACTTGAGACTTACTTGGACTTGCAAAACAATAACTCAGTTCCACCCCTGTTTAGGGGTGTAACGATACATCGATCCACATCGATACATCGATTAATTGATTAACGATCAGATTATATCGATGCAAAATGAAAACATCGATCCATATCGTCATCTTCAAGATACACCTTTATTTTGAAATTCACTTAAACATGAGAAATGTGAGACTTTAGTGAACAGGTCTATTTTTATTATTTTTTGTTACAGAAGAATACTGTTTTTCATTTAAATGCCTGATACCTGAAAGAGCTCAGAAATAAAATGGTCAAATCATATTCTAGTTGTTTTTGTGAGTTGATGTAAATGATTGTGTTAGATGGGCATATGATATCACGTCATATCGATCGCAGGCTCCTGAATTGAATTGAATCGAAATCATATCGCTACAGATTTTATGATATCGGCAAACGTCGAATCGTCATCCATACAAATCGATATAATTCGTATCGTGATGAAGCTGGTGATTTACACCCCTACCTCTTGTTACAAACTCTCACACGACTCCTGCAGTATAATCCAAGTCTCATTTATCCACTCGAATGCTCAGTATTTTCCAAACACATGCATTTTTGCTAAAACCATAATATTTAAAACACTTCTGCATTAACACAGGTGCACTATGCATCCATGCATGAAATTGTTTATGCAAAAATGCATATTCTAAAACCGTACTGAGAAGCCTCAGTATTCAGAAGCATTGATCATAGGTCTGGATAAATGAGACTTGGATTATACTGCACGAGTTGTGTGAGAGTTTGTAAAATGTGGACCCCTATAACTTTAATTCATCAAGAATTATCATAAAGAATTCACCCATTTTTGGATTCTTCGTTCACTTGAGGCATGCGGGAAAAACATTTTTTTTCTCCCTGGATTCAGCCTAACACAGGGTGAGTAACTGAAATACAAATGATCATTTGTGAGCTGAAGTTTTCCTTTAAATAAAAAATCTTGGCATTTATCTTTCAAATACAATCAAATCCTTTATCAGTAACACTGCACCCCTATTTAGCGCTGATAAGCCGTATACAAACAATTTTTTGTAATCGTCTGCAGCTCGGGTCAATAATTCCACCTTGTTCTAAGACAGAGGTAGGAAACCTCTCCAGTTGCTCCATGTGACTTTTTGTTCACATGGAGCAACTGGAGAGGTTTCCTACCTCTGTCTTAGAACAAGGTGGAATTATTGACCCGAGCTGCAGACGACTACAGAAAATTGTTTGTACATGGCTTATCTGTGCAGTGTTAATGGTAAAAGATTTGATTGTATTTGAAAGATAAATGCCAAGATTTTTTATTTAAAGGAATATGTCAGCCCCCAAATGATCATATGTATTTCAGTTACTCACCCTGTGTTAGGCTGAATCCAGGGGAAAAAACGTTTTTTTCTTGCATGCCCCAAGTGAACGAAGAATCCAAAAATGGATGAATTCTCTATCATAATTCTTGATGAATTAAAGTAACAGGGGTCCACATTGAACAGCATTTTTGCAAAGACTGTAATATTTAATAATTGAATGAATGACATTTATTTATTTATTTATTTATTTACATTTTAATTGTCATTTATCATTGTTGTAGGCCTAAAGAAATTATCCCATTCTCCAGTGGTAAAAATGTGTAGCATACACACTGCATAAAAATGTTTTACCATTTCGTCAATAAAAATGTACGCTTACATCATGGTGCCTTCTCCTATAAATTCTGCCAAACCTCAATAGCTGTGGCTCGTCTTGAGACTCCGCAACTAGCTATGGATTCCAAATATATATATATTTTTTTTAAGTAAAATTCTTGAAGACAAATTGAAAAATGTAATACTATGTGGACATTTGCTTTCACCACAAACGCTGCAAAGTTACCAAATAATCATAAGTAGCCCACTGCAGAGGGCGCAGATTTAAATCTTTTAGTAATGTTGACGGACTAATGTAGGCTATACAGGCTGTGTTATCTGAATTATAGAGCTCAAATATGTTTTGTGGCTCCAGGCAGATTTGTTTGAACTGTTTAAGGTCAAAAAATGGCTCTTATGATCATAGAGGTTGCCGACCCCTGTGCTACGAACACATTTTATTTTATTATAACTGTGTTTGACTAGATTGCCATTCATTATCCTTTTATATATCAGCCTCAACTTACAGGTGCCCACTGGAGGAGTTCTAGCTGTTGACTAATACATTAACAAACACTTATATCTGCTTACAGCGACATTATAGTGTGTTAGAAGTGTGCTTACCAATGCTTAAGAGGTGGCTATAAAGTCAAGCGTAAACTTTTTTTACCCTATAAACATGCTGCAGTTTCTCCACCGTAGTTTTCATTGCAAACACATCCCTATGTATTCTTTATCTAAAATTTTGACCTTATTAAAATTGTTATATTTCCAGTGAAACACATTTTTCCATGTTTTTTTTAGCAGTTGAACAAAGTGAAGTTCATGCATCTATTATTTAGTGTAAAGCCTCACAGAGAGCAGCTAATGAGGTTATTGGGCATCTGTGACGTGACATCTACATTTTGGCCTATTTGTGAAACAATGGTAACAAGGAAGCCCGGGACATTGGGCTCTGTGTTTTCCAACTCAAAATAACAAAGCCAAGCAGCCGCTGGTGGGAGGCTGTGCTCTCATGGAAATGAGCAACTGAACCAACAATGTAGCGCCTAATCTCTTCAGAGAGAGGAATCAGTTACACAGCAGTATGCACCCCTCAATGCTTTTCATTAGAGTCAGCGTGCTATTGAAACAGTCACTCCACCCCCCTGACTCACTCACACACAAACACACACATATACATGCGCACACACACTCTCACAGCCCTCGTGTGTGTAGCCACAGGCCCTACTCATACATGCACCAGATACAAGGTAGCCCCCCAACAACAGAAGGGGTGAAATAAGTGGGGCAGAGGGTGGTATGGGGGTGCAGGGGCCTCAAAGCATGGGATTAGAGTTAATGTGCCCTCCCTGGGTTATAATCTCTTCAGAGGGGGACTTTGTTTGAGGGGCTTGAGGGCAGTAAGATAAGTATCTATTACAGAAACTCCCTCTTATCCCCCAAACATCCTCGCTTCAAAAATGAAGCACAAAAACACTTGCCTCTGTTCCCCTCTGTGTCGTCTGATATCCAGGACCCAAAAGCAAGTGCTGGCCTTTTCAGCTAATCAGGAATTAAGGTCTAAAGCCGTATGGAGGGTTAGCAGGGCCCATATTTACTCCATCTGTAGCCCACAAAGTCAGGTAGTTAAAGTAAGATCAAAGACAGCTTAAAAAACAGCTTATTGTATTGAAAAAAAGCATTATCACAAGTTGTTCTTCTTCTCTGGTGTTATAAGAAAAAATTGTGTGTGAGCAAACAGACCTCCTGTTTATTTCTGTAAGCTGAAACCATTTCCCTCAGTGAAAACAAAACTTTAATAAAACAGTAAAACAATAAATTGTGAAGACGATAAAGCCTCCACAAAAATAGCATTTTAAATATTGTGTGTGATTTATCCTGGCTTCGTATGAGCAGAGGAAATCTCTGCTCGTCCCTAAGCTAATATATACAGTGAAAAATGCCATAGGCTTGTGCTAATAACGTTAGCATGTTGTATTTGTTTGGAAAACATGTTTAGTATTTTTTATTTATTTTATTTATTTATTTTTTTTAAAATAACAGGGACAATACATATTAATAGACACTTGCATGTAAATATGTAGGATTGGAGCCACTGGCTAATTTCCATCCTTTGTCCCTGGGCAGGTATAAGACAGTTGTTTTGTGAGTGAACCTTGTGAGCTGTTATGGAGATGAATTATGTAACGTTACCTTTGTTAAATGTTGCTGTTGTCCCTGGCTTCATATGAGTAGACGAAGTCTGCTAGCCACTAAGCTAATTTATACAATGTAAAATGCCATAGGCTTGTGCTAAAAACATTAGCATGTTGTATTTGTGGGGAAAATGTGTCCAGATAAAGACAAGTGTTTGTCTGTGAATGCTGCGAGTTATAGTGAAGCTGATTTATGTTCTTGTGTTTGAAATTGTTGCTATTAAGCCATGTTTAATGTGTGTTTAATGTGTGTTTTGAATCAGCTAAACTTCACAGCACTTCACAGAAACCCCGCAACCAACTAGTGTTTTGGAGGTGTAGCTGCAGAGTGACACAAAGTGAAAGTCAAAGTGAACAATGCAGGTGCAAAAATGCGTAATATAAAATCCAGCAAAACAGTTTGATATAAAATACAGTTTATTACCAAAATATCTTCATTATATAAATATTGTGCAAATGACGTAATGGAGGCAGATTTTTTTTTTAAACTTTAGATTACACAATCTGAGGCAACACAGAAGCCTTTAAACCAATGGACAGAACAATCTAGAGCAGTGGTTCCCAACTGTCGTGGTATCCAGGATATTTTAGCTTTACCTCTGCACAGTGCGGGTCAGTGGAGACACCACGGCCATGTTTACATACAGTCTGTGTGCTGAATGTATCAGACTGTGTGGACCTTGAGCTAATGACTTAAGAGAAATCTGGACCAGGTGGGAACCACTGATCTAGAAGACACTGATTAACATAATAGTGCAAATATATTTTGCAAACGTTAACATGGCACTTTAATACAGGAGGTGAACAAATTAAAGAACAATCCACTGACAAAAACGCATTGCAAATCTGCATCATGACAGAAAAACAGCCATTAAAGCCTGATACAGGGCAGGAAGCAGAGACATGTAGAGGCCGTACTGGAGGTGGCTGACAAAACCATCAAACTGGCACTGACTAACATTAGATATGGTGATGGGGAAAAAAAACTACGATACTTTTGGCACTCTGAAACGTCTCTGGCTCAGATTAAAGTAACACGCTGATGTTTTTACATGTTTAAGCCCTTTAACTACCAGCTACTAACACTTTACTACCAAACATTTTATAAAGCGCTGTTTAACTTTTAATAGTAATTTGTTTCCTACCAAAAGGCCGCTGTCTTCAGTCCAGTTTGAAAATGTTGATATTGGAGAATTAGAACTTCTCTGAGAAGCAGTGCTGCATTCACAAGCAGAAAACCCTCAAAACAAATATAATCAAACAGTGAAAACAAATGTGATGATGGGGTTGCATTAAGATTTTACCTGAGTTTCCTGCTCACGTGTTGAAAAGTCTACAAGATTTTTATTGCCATTAGGGACTGTACAAAAATAATTAGATAGGGAAATTAGGGAGGTTTTTTTTTAAGGTAGTCTTGAATTTTTTTTGAGATTTATTTTTATTTAACAGTTTTCAGATTTGCAGATTACTTGGAGGGAAAAAAGGATCCAATGCAAAAATAATAAAAATGATTATACCTCAATATATTATGAATAAATGTTAATGTTTGGGCCCTGTGATAGTCTGGCGACACGTCCAGGGTGTACCCCGCCTCTCGCCCAGTGTCAGCTGGGATAGGCTCCAGCCGCACCACAAACCTGAACAAGATAAGCAGTTACAGATAAATGATGGATGGATGGATGGATGATAAGGTTTGGTGACTCCATTTTAAATTCTTTGTTTTGTCGTTTTTAGTTATTAATAATGAATCGAGTTGAACCAATATTGTTTTAAAACTGGAGTGCACAACTTAGACAAACTCTGTCGACACGTGCTGATGGCGTGTGCCTGCAGATGAGCTCGCCGCATCTCCTCCTGCACCCAGCAGCGTTCCATTTTACTTTAATTCGACCTCTGAATGCTGAGAGTTTTTTTCTGGAGCATTCACACCAGAAACCTTTCTTGGATGCTTCTTAGGATTTTCTGCCATACTCCTGGCTGCTCCTCCATCCCTGTGGTCTTAACCCCCTTCCTGCCCCCTTTTGCGCTGGCTGATTGACGGTTGTGTGCAACTGCAGGAAAATCGCCACAGACACACAACTCAGGTATTCTGAGAAATACAGAGAGCTTTCTCTGGTGTCGATAGGCTTAATTAGCATTGTGTGAACTTGTTTGGCAAAGGCTTGAATGTAATAGATGTTCATTTATGTTTAAGTCCCTCACTGGTTCAGCCCCCCTCCCTACACCAGTAATTTCCCTACAGTCCCTTAGTTAATGGCGTTATTGAGAAAATAATTAATTCAATACAAAATAAAAATGTTTGCTGTCATGGTTTGCCTGTAGTGTCTCTGTAAGATGAATATAATATTATACTGACATGAATCTAAATGAGTAGCTGTGTGACAACGGCAGTAAATCAGTTTTAGAAAATGTTCAGCATAGTGTTAAATACAAATTATTTTTAAAAGGCAAAAACATACAAACCACCAGTGTGCTCCTTTTGAAGGCTAACTGGTTATTTTAATACAGTCTGTTTTTAGATTTGTCCTTTAACTCCTCACTGAGAGTGAACATGGATCATCTGGACACTTGTGCAGAGTCAAACTGAGGTGATGACGAGCTGAGTGAATCCACGTGGCCTGAGCTTGTTTGAAATCGTAAGGCAGAAGTAGCATTTAGCAACATTCATTAAATTCAAAGGCTTTGAGAAATACTTTTGTGGTAAGCATAAATATAGATAATACACGTTAAAGCTTCATCTGCAACACTTCTATTCAATGTTTCAAATTTACATTAGGTGTGTAAATACATATCTGTGTGCGTGAGGATTAAGTGGGTGTGTGAGCGTAGGAGACTTCGCAGAGTCAGAAATCATCCCCGCTGTCTGTTTCTTCTCAGCGGGAGAATTTTCTGGGTCTGAACGCAGGAAGGGTGAGCTGATGTGACGCCATCCTCTCCTCCTCTATCGGAGCCAGGTCCTCCGCTGAGCCCCACTTCTTCTTGGATTGAAACAGCGATGCCAACTTCCTGTTCCTGTTTCGCTCTCTGGCCTGAGTGACTTGAAACTCTGAGATCACAAAAACCAAAAATGACATGAGAAGGGAAAAAGTCAAGATGCACTTATTACTCTAACTTTAGCGATGCAACTTTTAAACATGACTGAAGATCAATTTAAAGGAGCAGTTTGAAGCTTTATGAAGTGCAGCAACGTCTGGTGGTTTGCAAATGTTTCAGCTTCATGTGTGCAATAACAGACCTAGAAGCCGGCAAGTTCTCAATAAATCTGGACTATTTTGGCTCAGATGTTGCCCCGCCCAAAATATATCATTTAATAATTACATTCATATCATAAACATGCAGGCAACTAGTCAACTAATGGGCCTGACTGATGACTATTGGTCAAGTAGGGAAATTCTTAGTCGGGGGCAGCCCTAATAAAAAGTTTACTGGTAGTATTAATAATAAAATTGTCGGTTATTATCCATTAAATAATTCAGCAGTTTGTGGCACTCACGCAGCTCGCAGTCTTCCTCTGGACCCTCTGGTTCCTTGATGTTCAGATAATGGAAGGCAAGACGGCCGCTGTAGTCCCTTAAGTTTTCTTTGGCTCCTGATGAGAGAAAAAATAAATCTCTGAAAAATGAGACGAGTCATTGAAGGCAGCAGGTACTTCACTGACACACCGAAAGCTCTGTGAAACAACTCATAATCCAGAGGTGAACAGAACTACCCACTGTCACTCTTAAACTAACTGAACTTATATAATAAAATTACATATTTTAATTTAAATCAAGGTTTTAATTCGGTCAAAGACTGATTTACGAGTAAAGATTTTTAATTATGTATTTGATCTATAACTCAGAGTGCTGATGTGTGTGCAGTTTTTACCATATGTCTCTATGAGCAGGTCTAGAATATGCCGATGACCATGTAACGCTGCGATGTGTAAAGGTGTGTATCCCTGCAGAACAAAAACAAGAGTAAAACAAAAGGAAAACGTGCATAAAGAAAATTTAAAGAGTGTACTCTAAGGTTAAGAATAATTCTCATGTCAGTGACAGTGGTGATGCAACATGGCACGCAAACACAGTCACGTCACTGACACAAAAGGAGGCAGTTTAAAGCTGACACTCTCACTCTGTGTTGAGTTCAGGGTTACAACTGTGGCAAAGTGCTGGAAAGGTTTAGTACCTACCCCCTGGAGTTTCCCAGGCCCAAACGCAGTCAGTGAAAACAGCGTGGAAAAAAATATACAAATTAGCAAAGGTTATGGAAACACGAGATAATGATAAAAACATAATTGCCTGGTAATTCGCTGAAAATTGCATAGTTCTCGAGTTGTGCATGCTGGCACATAGACGCACTGTTTTGGGAAACAATTAACATGACATGACATGATTTATTAGCAGAGGACTCGCGCAGCCCGACAACACGTGCTGCTGTGATGCATTTGCACAGCTGGATCGTTTAGGAACATTACATCACTGAGGGGAAGAAGAAGAAACCAGCCGCCGTGTTTCTGTCATGTTGTTACGAGTTCAAATCAAACAGCTCACTGTACATACCATCACTTCCTGTCATGAATCTGGATACTCACATGCTGCAAGAAAGAAGAACACAGTGAATTAATCAGTGACAGTGCAAAGAGAAGCAAACTGCACTGTGACACAGGATTAAAGGGGCGCTCCACCCATTTGACACACAAGACCCGTTTCCACTGAGCGGTTCAGTTCGGTACGCTTTTTTTCTGTTTCCACTGTGAAAAGTTGTGGATGGTACCGAAAGAACCGTTCCGTACCGTCCCCATGTTTGGTCCCCCCTCTGTTGGGGTACCTAGCACACAGATCTGGTACTAAAAGGTGGAGCTGTGAACACTGCAGTCTGATTGGTCAGTAGAGGACGGTCACTCTGCTCAGGGCTGAGTTGTGTCTGGTTTTGAGGCTCATGTAACCACTGTTCATACTGTGGAGAGTTTCATTAGTAAACTGTAACTATAAAATTACTGAGAAAAAAAATTAATTAATTCACTGGGCCGACTGCTGGCGACTTTTAAGGTGGAACGTTAACTTGTAATGTTACTCAATGCATGAGTTGACGACGTGAATCCATCAACACACCTTAAAATGTGACAACTTTGATCATTACTTTAGTTTTTATATGACATACACTTTATGTAATGAGTGGATCTTCAAGTGTTTATATTTATTCATTTTTCCCAATCCTCACTCGTCGCAGAGCGTTGTTCCTGTGGGCTACAGCAACACTAAACCCCTGAGCTTGCCTGAGAAGGACTAAATGCACAAACCGGTTATTTTTAAATATCCCATGGAGAGAGATTCTCACTGCAGCTTGTTCTGTTTTGTTCTGAAAATGTCGGCGTGCAGCCTCGTTCTGTCAATGATAAACAAGATGCAGACTTCTATCTGTGTCACCGGTAATGAGGAAATACAGTGAGTGCTGGACGGAGCAGTGAGTGACAACAACCCCGCCCAAATTTAAAAGGACTGTTTGTGGTGGAATCACTAGGGTCTAGGTACCATGTCTGAAGTAAGGTTACTTTAGGTTCCAAAGGCACCATACCGAAAAGTGTTTGGTGGAAACGGGGCTCTGAAGTTCGGTTTACTCATCATAGAAAGTACGACAGTTCTCAGCCCCTATGAAAAAACCTCAGTGATGTCATCAGGGTTAGCTAGAGTCAGGTTTGAGACGCCAGATATTTGACTTGTGGTGCAAACTGAGGGCATGCGACAGAGAGCCAAAGTAAAACAGTAACTTTGGGTTCTGCTCCAGATGTAAGAAAACCAACCCTGTCTCACTCCCAACTCGTCAAATCCTGACACTTGGGCCGTGGCCCTCGACGTCAGATACTGAAGCACTGAGGCTTCACACTTAGGTTTCAATCCTCCTGGACCTTCATCAAGAGTGTTCAACACCATTATTTTCAACATTGAGCTTAAGTAGAAACTGCCCCACCCATTTCCCAGGTGTGCACAGGTGTACATAGCTGGAGTGCCCCTTTTAAAATGACAGAAATGTATGGTAAAAAAATAAAAACACACTCACTGATTTGGTGTTAACATCAGCGCCTGCGTTCGCCACCAGAGCGGCCATGTCCCCGTTGCCATGTTTGGCGGCCCAGTGCAGAGCTGTCTGTGTGTAACAAGGAAAGAGGAGTCACTCATAAAACAAAAATCTTCTGTACTATTGTCAGACGTGGTCATCGCTGTCGCATCATTACAAGTTGTCTAAGCAGAGCAGGGCAGCTTCTTATTGGCCGAGCGAGGGCAGAGGGCCAGCTGCGCACAGAGGGGAGCGGACGGGTGGACGGATGGAGAGATGGTTTCCTGCCATCGAACACAGCCTAATTACAAAACAACACAGCACTGTGCCCACAGTTGGGGGGCCCGGCCGCCTGTCACCAGGGGGAAGATTGATGATGTTAGTGTGACCTGCAGAGCGGAGACCCACCCAGACATCAGCGCACTACTGTCAGCACATGTCAAGCAGGGAAACACGGGCCCCCACGACACAACACTCAGAGATACACCCACATGTCCACACAAGATACTACACACACGTCTGTACAACACACACTGAAAACACACACGCAAACCACATCCACCTGTCGGGCTACATCTGTGATCTCTGCACTTTTTCCTACACTCTTTAAGCTGCGTAATTATGTGCTATCAACAGGTGAAAGCAGAGTGGAGGTGCAGATGTTGGCGAAGTAACCACGTCCACCACTTCTGAGTCTGACCTTTAACACAGTGAATCAAACAGTCACTATTTCAGAGTCACATATTAACTGTGGAGGGATGAAAACCTTATAACCTCATTTTGTTATTTTATGTCTTTAATTCTTAATGAGACGAGATGAAAACGACTTTATTTTAGCTACTGAAAAGTTGTAAAGACAAAGGGTTCCTACAGCTTCAAGGTCCAGGGTATAGGATTTAGGGGGATATATAGACACAAATTAAATGATGTAATAAGTATGTTTTCTTAAGTGTATTATCACCAGTAAAAAAAAAAAAAAAATCTTTAGGTTTCCGTCACCTCACACAGAGTTGTCTATATCTACACGGGGAGTGGGTCCTAGTTCACAGCCGCTCTGCAACAAAAATGTCTTGCATGAAACTGCCTTTCTGTGTTTTTACCTTTTTTTTCCCACTTAAATCTTAATTAAAATAATTTTTATGACATCAACATGTCCGTTACAACAGCATAAAAAAATAACTGAAAGATAATAAGAGGTAACGAAACAAAAACTGCTGGTAAATGCACATTTTTACAGCAAGTGTTGTCTTTTTGAGTCCTGTGTAAAGTCCATTTCTCCCGTTTTCTTCCTATTTGTGCTCCTTGTAGTCTCAGTATGTGTGTCAATTTCTCCATTGAAAAGATTTCTTCCACAATTGTTAGCCACTGGTCCTTCGCTGGTGGTGTTTCTTTACACCAGTTCCTAGTGATAGCTTGTTTTTACCGATTTAAATCACCGGGTTTGTTTGTTTTGGAGAGGAAAAGACCTCTGTGGATAATTCAGCTCCTGGTAAAAACCTCCTGAATGTCTGACAAAAGGTGATCACACATTAGCAAGTGCTAGGCTAGCAGCCCGTCTCTGACAAGCCAAACAGCACAGGGGAAACACTGATTTGTAACGTGAAACTTCTTTATTCAGTGTTTTACTGTTGTTGTTTTTTTATAACACATATCTTTATTGATTTTTGAACTTGGTACAACATTCGTTCAGGATAATTTGTTATATCTTTCAGTGTTTTACTGGTTTTAATCACCTGGTCTGTTTGTTCTAGAGAGGAAGAGACCTCTGCAAATAAGTCAGCACCTGGTAAAACTCTCCTGAACAATAAACACTGAAGGAATTCCAATCGGGAGAAGTTTCAGCTGGTTGTAATCTGCAATCCTCACTGCTAGACGCTACATTAAATCCACCTAAATCTTGCACACAATTCCTTTTAGGTAATTTAGATTTAAGAATTCTTAATGCCACTTGTAATGAATTTTAAACATAATAATATAAAAAGACAGGTTTATATTTTGTAAGATAGATATTTGGTCATTTATATGTGTACATATGTTATGTGTGTGTGACAAAGTTAATGGTAATGAAAACAGTATATTTAGAAATGTCTAAGGTATAAGTTTATCTATATAAGGAAGTTGTCTGTTTCTTTTCACTCAGTGACTTAAGGAGTAGAGGTGGGATTTAATAAGTTTATACTTCCTCCTTTTCAATGTGTACATCAAACTAACTATACACTGATAATTTGCTTTTACATTATGTTTCCATTATTTGTAAATGTTTCTGTCTGTCTGTCTTTCTGCTGGTTTATATGTTTGTGTCTTTTTTAACATAAAATTTGAGACCAAAGTTAAAGGAAAAAACAAGTTTTGCCCAAATGTTTATTGTCAGAATGCCTTTTAAGACTTTTTAAGGACCTTCAGAAACGCTGTCATAAAGTACATAAGGTCAACTGAACGCAGACTTGCTGAATAATAATAATGACAAATATTTTGGCTGCCACTTGCAATGAAATGTGTTTGTCAGCACTAAAAATAATCCCAGCTGTCATAGCACAGCTGTTTGCTATTTTTCTCTATTGATGTACTTTCTTACAAATTTCGGGGTAATATTTGATAAGTCAGTGTCATTTCATTCCCATGTGAAGCACCTGACCAAATCTTGTTTTTTCCACTTGAGAAATATCAGTAAACAGGCACCTTCTTATGTATCTTAACTACTTCATCTGTATTCTTCAGCTCCGTCTCTGCAATCAAATACGGTACATTTGTTGTCTGTCCCTCGCACTCGCGTTAAGACACGTGATGATCGAGTTTATGCGACTGTAGCATCTAAATTTTGGGATGTTGTGCCTGCTCCCTTAATCTGGTTATTCTGTAGTTCTTTTTAACTTGTATGTACCAGAGATGTACTTTTTCAAATTTTGTGTTTTGTTGTTGTGTCGTGTGAATTCTTCTCTATGATTTCTTTCTTGTTGTATACTGCCCATGTGAAGCACTTTGTGACCTGTGTCTGCGAAAAGCGCTATATAAATACATTTTACTTATTTACTTACAAAATAACCATTTAATATTTAAGGGCATATGTCGCTACTTGGATTAGGAAATACAGCAGCAGTTGAGAAACTTTTATAAATCTGTTTTTTTCTTGAACAGAATCATTTTTTCATCCAGATGGGTAAAAATGTCTTTGAGGATTCTGGAAACACTTTAAGAGCAGCTGTGAGTGTTGTAGAACGACATCACCAGGTGTTTATTTTGTTTGGCTCTGTGACTCAAACGTGACAATAATATTTGAGGCACAAACTGTTTGAACAGCACACAGGTCCTTTTGTGTTCCAGGCTATGACGCTAATCGTGCTAATCGTGGCACAACAAGCGTGCGTCTAACAGCTGGCAGAGAAAAAATTCTGCTTGTACCTACTGAAGGGACCAAGGGAGCGACAGGTAGCTACACCTCTGTGCGTTGGACGTCTGGGAGACAGATTGTGATAGATGCTGTCTGGCTCAAGTGTCTCCATCTCTTTTGTCTGTCCCCTGTCACATCTTAAGACAGATTGACCAGAGGGCTGTTTGACAGGCAGCTCGGCGGGTCTCCTGGTGGGCAGGAGTGACGGACGAAGCCGAACAGGATGCGGCGTCTTCCCTTCCTGCGCCTCTCGTTGCTGTTCCTGCCCACTGGGGTAGCCACCCCTCCCACCTGTCCAATCACTCAGGGACGTCTCTGTCCCCGCCACGCGCTCCCCAGTGAGGGAAGTGGTGGCCAAAGAGGGCTCGCATCAACAGGAGGCACAATGGTTACTGTGTCTGACACTTGATGAGGAGGAAAGGCAGAGAGGAGTGATGGGCTGATGATGTACTTACAAACTGTGTGGCAGAGGAAGTCCGTCACAGCAGGAGCGGAGGCCCACGTCATGAGGAGAACAGGAAGAGAAAAGACAGTGAGACTGTGGACTGAGATCTGGGTGTTCTGACCTGTCTTCACATCTTTTAACCTGGCCTCTGTTTTTCCATGTGTTTGTGTCTTTAACCCTTTTCACTGCACAGAAACTCACTAACGCCTGTGGGTTTTATATTTAATGGGAAAGGTAACAATTGGCATTCACTCTCAGGACAAATGACTCTGCTTTAGTCACAGGTATTTATCGTCTCCAGTTCCAATTGGCTTTGAGTGGCAGTGATGGAACTATGACACCCGGTTGGACATGCCAATTTTAGCCCCTTTGCCAGCGCGATGCAGTGACAGACAGCTAAAAAATGTAGTCTGACTCCAACCAAGCAGCGCTCGAACGTCGTTCCAAATTGAGTCGGCATTGAATCAGAGAGAAATACTGAATAAAGTACATATATAAAAGACGCAACCACCAGAACATTTTCACTGGCTTCCATGCTGCTTTGCACTGTTTACCAGCCTTTTTCCGAGGTTTCCTTGACATCGAATGTGACACATCAGAACAAAAAAAACAAAAACAAAGGCATACTTATCTACTGCAGAGCAGCGACACAGCTCTGGTCTACTGGCAGTAGTTCATCTATTTTTAACAGGTTTTCCTGAGTTGAAAATAAAAACAAACCTCGTATGATATTTTTGGTGGATAAAAGGGCCTAGTGACTAAGTGATTAACAGAGTCAACAAGTTTTGAAATTGGTCCAGTATCGATTGAGAGGGCAGCAGCCGACAGCGACAAAACAGGCTGCAGCGTAACACTGATGGGTAATCGTGGACCGCCGACGTACGTCCACTGAAAGTGCTAATTTTTGTCACTCAGTGCGTTAACATGACATTAGAGGAAATCGATTTAGTGTGTTAGTCTGACTAAAACCAGACTGATCATAAATCTAATTGTAATTTGTAAATCTAATTTCTCAAAGTCAGACTACAACGCCCATACAATGAGATTGGAAGTTGAATTCCTCCAGCATATATATACAGTCAATCGGATTTAAACTGGCCGAGGCACTTGGCATATGCTCCACAGTTTCCGCCCCTGGCTTTGATCCTAAAATAATTTAGCATTAAATGCGTAACAGAAGAAGAGGCCGGTAACAACATGGTGAAATCTACATCCAGAGCTGAGCATTTTTGGACGGACAAAATATACAGAGCTGTAAAGTTGTCCACCATGGTACCAGTTTGCCGCTAGCTAACGGTAGCTAACTCATTTGTCAGTTTGGTCTGTGACGTAATGGGTCAACCGGAAAAAGGTCCAATACTAACAAGCTGAAAGGGGGCATATCGCCAACTATCGTAGCAGAGTCAGACATACTTTGGTCAATAAATCAGTTCCCCTCCTGAGTTTGTATACTGGGACACGGACAGTAGCCCAATTAAATGGGCTAGTCAAGCTATCACCTTAGCTCATGCATGTAAATATACTGAGTGGCAGGCTCAGATTTTTACTCTACATGTTTGACAACATTATGGAAAGGATCCTTACAGTGATAGACCTTTTTGTTAAACAGTTTTTGTTTCACAAGAAACAGCCCCAAAATCACCAATCACCAAACCCACCAGACTCCATTAAAAAAAACATGAATTTTATCATCATAAAACACACTTTATTCAAAGTCAACAGAAACAAAATAAAACTCACAAAAACCACCTTGTCTCATCTTTCAAACGTTTCAACAATCACCAGCACTGGTTTTGCTGAAAATAACTCTAAATTCACTCAGTTAAATGTATTAATGTGCTGATTCTACATACGCTAAAACTACTGTTCATTTGAATGGAGTTTGGTGGTTTCTGAGTGGTCATTTCAGGGCTGTTTCTGGTTAACTACAAAGGTCTATCTTTGTAGGGATCCTTTGCATAATGTTGTCAGACACTTGTAATGACAATCTGAACCTGTCGGTGGCAAAAACAGGCACTAAAGTGACAGTGCACAAATGTCCCGAGTGGTTACATTGCTGCCTGTTTTGCAGCTGCGGGCTGCAGCATTCTCACTCAATACTGGACCAGTTTCAAAAGTTGTTGTCTCTGTTAGTTACTCAGACAAAAACATGTGAAAATAGTGTCCAGGTTGAAAAATACTCAAGTTCCCCTTTAAGTAACTTCAAACCTGTTGTTTGAAGTGCGTATCTATAAAACCACCTGATCCAAACAAACATTTAGTCAGAACAGGAAACACTTTAAGTCCTCCCAGGATGAAGAGTAATCCCTTCAGTCCTGGTCAAACATGTGATCTGGAGCCTGGTATTCAGTACGCTTAACCTAACTTCTGTGGAACAAATTGAGGACATAACAAATGCAGATCAAATATAATAACTGGTTTTAAAGAGCGTCTCTCGTCAGTCTGAGTATCTCTGTACGTTATCTCTCGGAAGGCATCCACCTCTGCAGAACAGGGAAAGGCTGAGGGCTAAAGGGAACATCAAAGGGGCCCGAGGGGGACTCAGCACCTTCCCAGGGACACAACCAGCATTGTTCTACAATTAATCCCGGCCTGCTCTATTACTTTCAGATTATCTTTAAGTGGGTGAAGTCTTTGTGAAGCATTAAGACTCTCCTTAATCCCCCCAACACATCTCCCTACACTTCAATGGCGGCCGCGCTATCTTGTCCGGGTGGGGATGGCAGAGGCTTAGGGCTACTCTTAGAAGGTGGTCTGCCATGGCCACAGGACAGTGTGAGAACTGTGACACAGGGGAGGGACAACAAACATGAGCTCAAATCTCTTAAGCGCACAGGGAGACAAATAAAAGGATTTGGGTTGTCAGGGGGGCACAGGAGCTAAAAAGCTATCTTTCATAATCCTTTTGATAGTGGACCTTTGAAATGCATGATCTGGATGTTTTAACACGGGGTTCTCAGAATACTATTAAGGGAAAAGTCTCGGCAGAATGAGCTTGTGAAAGTTGTACAAGCAGAACGCAGCAAGTCTGGGAGCGACCGTCGTATACTGAACCACACAACGATCCAGGAACACAGAGCTTTAATGGAAGCTGTAAATGAACTCTCATTCCAACAGGCTGCAGTAGGTGTTCAGAGTTATCACACACTAATGAAACTCACCCCCTGAGAAGGATGGTCATGGTCACAGCATCAGGAGCCACAGTGAGTCAGAATGAGAAAATAAGAAGCTTTGAGTCAGACACAAATCATGTCACAATAAACAGACGTCCAGCACAGTATTATAAATTGATAATTACTTCATGTACACAGTTAGTCACGCACAGTTTGTAGCTGTTTCTCTCAAAGTGCCAAATACTCACTGAGGTGAAGTCCTGGTTTGATCCCACCAGAAATAAAGAGACAAAGCGTACGTTAGAAAATCATGAATTCAACACATGAAACTGCTTGTTTTTATTGGAAAAGTGTCTTTTTGAGTTTTGTTCGTTTTATATTCTTGTTACATTAAAGGTCTTAAAGATGTTATCTGTGTGGTTTGATAACACTGCATCCACTAAAGTGCCTGCTGACATCTGGGAACAAGCGACGTCGCTATAACGAAGTTCAGTGGGGCAAGAAAAAAATAACCTGTAAACAAATCAACTCATCTGAACCAGTTTTTGGGTGGTTGAACTGCCAGTAAAATTCACTTGTTGCACTGTAAACTGAATTAAGGCCTTTACATGCTGAGTCTGTTTTTTCGTATGAAATTAAACGTCTTAAAATAAACATGACTTCACATTGTGTCCATCCTGTTTGCACACTAAGTCCAAAACTTCCGTCCGTCATTAAAGTTTTCTGAACAGGTTCGATTTTCTCTGTTTGTCACATCCGTCAGAGCCTTTAGAGACGTTTGACCAAGAATCAGTAAAGAAAATGTGGCAGCTGGACACAGCTGTGACAAGACAGAGGAACATGGTGCACAGAATCATTTCATAACTCAGACAGCTCACATTCAACAGGTCAGATAGTAATATTCAGGTGGATGATGATGAAGAGGAGGATGTGGACCGCACAGAATGTGGAGGACAGCCAAATGAAAGACAGGGAGGAAGTGAAGACAGTCAGATAGGTAACTCCAGAGGAGAGAGGCAGAAGAGGAACTGTAGACATGTATCATGAATTTTCACAAGTAGAACAATAAAACACATCGGAATCAGTGTCTGTGGGTAACGATTTTGTTGGGATGACGGAATAAAAAAAAACGCATCCAGGAAAAAAATGGACTCTGTGCAAAGGCCTTTAACCCAGAGCTACAGGAAGTACAAAGTTAAACCATGGGGTCACTTTGTTAACTGTGATGAATAATTACAATGGGAGACTCTCAAGGGACTGCTACAACCTGCGAGGCGAGGGTCTGTGGGTTTACTGGGGTTTTACAATGTAATTTAATGAGTTTTTATTTAATTTCTACTTTAAAAAAAATGGTTGCCATGCAATGTTTCCTCATACAGCAATTCATGATATTTTCTGAAAGGTTATGCATGTTAAATCCTCCAAGTTTTCTCTAAATAAGTGCCCCTACCTGTAAGGTTAGGTTTCATCATGGTCAGGCATTGTGACGTTACGTATATGTCATTTAAAACTACTCAACACCAACTTTTGGTTTTACATGGGACATGAACCCTGGTGGTGGCACAGTGGTGTAGTGGTTAGCATTGTTGCCTCACAGCAAGGGGTGTGGGAGCCCTTCTGTGTAGAGTTTGCATGTTCTCCCCGTGTCAGCGTGGGTTTCCTCCAGGTGCTCCAGCTTCCTCCCACAGTCCAAAGACATGCAGGTTAACTGGTGACTCTAAATTGTCCGTAGGTGTGAATGTGAGTGTGAATGGTTGTCTGTCTCTATGTGTCAGCCCTGTGATAGTCTGGTGACCTGTCCAGGGTGTACCCTGCCTCGCGCACAGTGTCAGCTGGGATAGGCTCCAGCCCCCCGTGACCCCAAACAGGTTATGGAAAATAAATGAACGAATTAACCCCAGTCTCCTGGGTAAAAGTCCTGTGTTTGTTTGTTGCTCTTTATACTATGTCACCGGACTTCCTCTTTGCTCCTGTCTTATCACAGATGACAACCTGTAGTGCAGAGGTCACGTGATCACAGCCTCCTGCCTCACAATTATGTGGGTCGTACATGAATTATAGCGCGTTGCTTTTTGTAGGTAGAAGAACTAACAACAACTCATTTATTAAAACTAACATTGTGTCCTGTTTGAAGAACCTAGTACTTTATCACAACTAAATAATCACACGTGTAAACGAAGCTGAAATAGACGCGCTGATTAACAAGCTTTAACAAACTTTTTTTCTCTTTGAGTTTTACTAATTTTTTCAAGGACTGTTGTGTCGTGTTTTTTGCTGATTAAATTCTTACAATTGTCAGTTGTCAAGTTGACACACGAGCAAAGCTACTGAGAATAACCTCATGAAGAATTCTGTTTCTGTCTGTCACATGACCCTCACCTTGCAGGTCGTAGCAAAGTCCCTCAAGAGACATGGGTCAGCTTGTGGGTGATAACTTTATTGTTTGTCCCTGTTTTTTTCTTCAAAATAAATTGAGCGAGCTTTGATGTTTGCCCCATCTGACTTTGTGGTAGCAATATTGCTACATTCCCAGATGCTGTTATTATTAGACAGATGGCAAGAAAATAAAAAAACAAGATCCAATTAGCAATAAACAGGAATGATCCTGTAGTGCAGCGTTACCTTCTTGTTTGCCAGCGAGGGGTCCTGTCTGAGCAGCTGAGAGAGGTCAGGGACTCGAGCACCTGCAGCCGAGTAGATCCACTCCTTCTCTATGGGATCCAGCTATCACAGAGGGGGGGAGGGGGAGTTCAGATGTGCACACACACACACACACGCACACACACACGCACACACACACACGCCCTACTGTCCACATCCTGTTGTGGGCTCTATTGAAAGTGCTGAAGCTACAAACCTTTAATCCATTTCCTACAAATGACTGAGTCACAGCCAACTGACACACTGAGGGAGACACCCATGATCACGCCGCACAGAGTTCAACTGTTTATGCTTTTACTTCTGTCACTGGTTCAGAGCCAAACTATGCAGGAATGTTGGTTTATAAACGCAATATTCAAACATGGCCACTCCTCCCTGCCCTGCTTGTACATACTCTGGAAACTGCTGAACTAGTTTAGGAACGTTACATGTGTTTGTGATGGAAAAGCTGATACTTTAGCAAGCTAACTAAGCTAACTAAGCTAACTGGTGACATCTAACTGTCTGACAGAAAACAGGCCAGTTCTGCGTCACTCTTCATCCCATCGTCTCCTTCAGTTTTTTTTTTATTTTGAAGTGCTGTTTCCTGCTGTGTGTGTGAATGTGAGTGACTAACAGACAGCAAACTAGCTCAACAACATGGCCATACGCAAATATGACATTTGGACATTTGGACCCCGTGGCTGGACCAGTTGGGAATCACTGGCTTAAATTACATATGTTTGTCACCGGTATAATGTAACATCATGTGCCATACACCACTAGCATAATATGCTACACATATGCACACTTCCTTGTTATTAAAATAACTTGATTGACTTTTGGTTTCACACGGGACACAAACAGCGTGTTCCCAGGTAAAAGTCCCGAGTTTGTCTGAGCCATCCACCTCTGCTCCCGCCCCATGCAGACCCTCCTCCTCTTTATACTAAAGCAGTTGCTCAGAGCATCAAAAAATGCAGTGGGCCAGTGTGTCTCATACGGCTGCTAAAAGGTGGCTTGTTGCATTAGTATCAGATGCCGAGGGTCACTAACAAAGCATCAGTATTTTTTTGCCTTTATTTGACAGGACCGATTTAATATAAAAGGGGGAGAAAGAGTGATCATAATATGCAGCAAAGGGCTGTGGGTTGGAATCAAACCTGCAGCCTCTGCAGCAAGGGCACGGCCTTTGTACATAGGGCACCTGCTTTGCCAGGTGAGCTAGTGGGCACTATGGCGTCAGTATTTGACAAGTTGGGAGTGAGACTGAGTTGAATATGAAAGTGAAAGCCCACTCCAGATTAACTTTTGTTTTGGAAGGAGCTTTGGCTACTTTGCCTCACTATATTTGCATTTTTCTGGGCCTGTGTGCGAATTTTGTAGCTTCCTCTTGGATGCATGCTGCTTACAGTCTGGCACCTGGTCGCTACCTTTTCATAAAGTCAAGAACTCACCTGCAAAGTGTGTCCATGAACGTCGCAAACAGCAAAATAATAAGAAAATACAGGCAGGGAGCGGAGTCTGTACAGATACATACACCGCCCCGCACACTTCTGGTGGGTCATAAGTGATAACTGAGAGGGGTTACTTCTGTGTGAGCCTATACAGTGTTTTTTAGGAAAAAAAAATCCCACATAGTATACCTTCATGAAGGAACACATAGCAACATCACAGGGAGAATGGATAAGTATTTCTAAGACCAAACCCATTAGATATATTTCTAGCAATGTCTAGTTTCCTATTATTTTTTGAGTCACTCTAATGCACCACCTGACCTGGCATCTTGGGAACCTTTCATTAAAGGCAGGTGTGCTGAAGTGAGCGTGGAGCGTGGAAGGTGCTATGGGGTTACAGTCTTTAATTGCTGTGTATTTGGTTAATCTTAATTTTTATTGTTTGATGAAGTCATTTAATACCCCATTGACTGAGGCCTGTTCATTAAGGGAGTGTTTGTTTTGGGATTTTTGTTGTCATTTTTTAAACGCAACAGTCAAGACAAACAATTTATAGCATCATCAAGCAATTCTCCATACATCCCGCAAATCAATCAACTCTTAAACCAACCAAAGCACCTTGATCATCAAACAGTGAGTAAAATTAAACCGACAGTGAGTTTATCACATCTCCCCTTATGATGTCTGTGGGCGGCTATTTCTGAATTTATCCAGAAGCTACAATAAAACACTAACAGTCATCTGGCAGATTTTTTGCTTAAAACCTCACTAAGCCTTTGTAACAAGAAAACCACAGGAAGAGGAAGAGAAAAGGACTCACAGCGACAGCAGCAGAGCCCATACTGCCTGTAGACTCCTCGTCTTGTTCTGACTCCGACTGAAAGACAGAAAACACACGACTCTTACTCAGCAGTGACAAAAAGTTAGCTGTACTGTATCAGTCATAATGGTCACATAGCATGACCCAGCATCACAGGGTACACACACACACACACACACACACACACACACACACACACACACACAGAGTCACTGGTCACACTGCTGTGATATTTTCCAGCTGACGAGATGTGACCAAAGGGTGTCAGACAGATAGGGAGGTAATGAGGCAGCGAGACAGAGGTGCCAGTTTCACACATCAGGGGTAATGAATAACAATCCAATTCACAATTAACCAAAAAACAACACACCCACAGTGAGGCTGTGTTTCTGTCACCATCTCAGTCTCAACAGGGTGAAGAGAAAACCTCCAAAAATAACGACCACAGCCATCCAGCAGTGTGTAAAAGTGTCACTGTGGCTGATTTATGTGAGAGGGGAGAGTTTTTTTCTTCTTCTTTGACTTGATTGCAAATTGTTCTCAGATCACACGCAGACACGATGTTCAAACACTCAGCCCTTTCAAGTCTCTTACACAAACTGCCACATGTCAGCGTGCTGAACATGAAAAGTGGAGGGATTGTATTTATCCAGCCTATTCCACTCTGGCATGTGTCCATTTTTTGAACTTTTGGCACTTCTGGCAGAGAGCAATAATAACAGGGAGAGAAAACATTGTTCGTATGAATGGAAAAACTGAGAGGTTACTCAGAGAAGAACTCAAATACTCCTCCAGCACTCTCTATTTATTTTCTCGTATTAATTGCATTTTAGCTGCTTTCAGAGCTGCAGCTATCATTTTCAGTGTTGATTCATCTGTTGATTATTTCGTTTATTTGTCTGGTTTTTTAGGTGTCAGAAAATACAAAAAAAAATTGCAAATCACAATTTTCCAGAGCTCAAGATGAAGGTTTTGTTCAACCAATGGTCCAAACATTAAAAAAGATTAAATTATAATTATATAAAACAGAGAACCAACAAATGTTTGGCCTTTTTATTCCATTAATCAATTACCACAACAGCTGGTGACTAAATTTCTCAGTGGACTTATTGAGTGACTAATCGTTACAGCCCGCGGTTGGACATTGTGGAGCCTGTGGAGTCACAGTAGAGTGAAGTGAAACTATACTTTAATAACAACCAAAATGAATTTGAAGAGAGTCTTTGAAGTGAGGAGGGGGCCTCAGCTGACCACAAGAAGAAAGACTTCACTACTGACGTTTCACACAGGGTTCTTTCACTCACATGTTCCTTACACTATAAAGTCAACTTAATAATGTTGCATTATTAAACAAGAGTCTGCAGCGAATCTAGCAGCTCTGTGAGGCTGTACTGAGCTAAATGCGACGTCAGCATGCTAAAATGTGAATGTGACACTTTCTAATGTCACAATGGAGGGAAAACTACGCAGGTTGATTTTAGCGCTGCTCATCGTGGACTATATTGCTGTCATTGTTCATTTTAGTCAAACCATACAGTTTGAAAACGAGGCGCGGCTCCAACTAGAAAACAATGTTTTGATGCATTGGATGTGCTGAATGTGCATATTAAGGCAGTACAGGAGGAGGTGCACATTAATAATCCTCCAGGACTGTAACATGCTCATGTTTAACCCAAACAATGTGTCATGTGACTGCAGTTGGTTCACATCCAGGTCGGAACCTGTACCTGCTCTTTTAGTGCGCACTCGAGTGCAATTGCTGTGTTCACACCTGCCCAAACATACAAACTTAAGGGTTAAACGAACTTGAGTTTAATAGAACTTGAACTTGTAAGCATGCTAATACTTGCTATTAGCACATGTAAGCATGAGGCTGGTGGGAATGTCAGACTGTGTTTGGACATAATCTTAAAGCAGCATTATAAGTGAATTTAGGTTTGGACCAGATGATAGTTAAAGGAACAGTTCACTCCAAAATCAAAAATACATATTTTCACTTTTATACCACACCTGCCAACTGTATCATCACTGCATCTGCTCATGGGCTGATATGGGACCGTGGGCTTCTGGGTACAGATATGCCAAAGGCCCCACTATCTCTCCTACACAGGAGCAAGATACATAGAGTTTGTGATGGTATAGAGCTCGTAAGTTGCGTGTTTCCGTTTCCGGTACATGGGACCTTAAAAATCGATTTCTCATAATGTATTTCAGTGGCTAGATGAAAATTATTTTCTGGTCCCGTTTGAATTGTGCCATGAATTTCACATATGTTGTTTGTGAATTTTTAATATATTTTTTCATGCAAAGAAGGCTTCAATTTAGCGGGAAGAAGTTTGATACTGTTAGGTTTTGTGTGAGAGCGCTTTGTGGACTACAGCTCTTCGCTGCTCTCGACGCGTATGATATACGTCACTACTCGCACTCGGAACATGGCTGTGTCTCTGGTACACTTCACCGCCTTCTTCCAAGGAGAGGACAAAAGCCTTAAGTGTGGCGAAAAACCACTACAAGTCTGGACATGTGGAAAGTTTCAGCTACGCCAGTGGGGAGATGTTCGGTGATCTGATGGCTCCGTAGATCGTGGCAGAAGACGCAGCAGCAGCACTGTGAGTTGAGAAGTGGAGGGAAAGTGTGATGACGTGACGTCACATAGGCGACATGTAGTCTTTCTAATTACGTTGTTTCCACAGGCTTTAACTGAAGAATCATACAATAAACTGTCAAACTCTTAACATGAAAAAATATTATTTAGACCCACACAAAACATTTGTGTAATCCAAGGCATTTAATGACTGGGACCAGAAAATAATAATTTTCTCTCCATTGACTCCCATTCATATTTTCCGAGCCTAGAGGTCCGATGGGGGTCTACCGAAAGGGGCGTGACTTACGAGCTCTATTGCCTCTGTTTTTGTTGTTGTTTCACATCTTACTTTAGTTGTTATCCATCTTTTTGTGGTTTTGTATCTCTTTGCGGTTGCTTTACCCCTTTCAATAGGGGTTTTGTGTCCCTTTGTATCTCTTTGTTGTCTTTTTATGTCTCTTTGTAGTAATATTGAGTCTCTTCCTGGTTGATAATTTGAGGGACGTTTTGCAGATAAAGGCCAGGGGGCCCCTTACACTTTGGGCCCCGGGGCCTGTGATTAGTTGGCCCATTCAGTAATCCATCCATGCATTTACTGCTAGCTCACCTAGCATCACTGAGCTAGCTCACGTTACAGCTCAGCTGAGGAGGACGGGATCTGAGGCTTGCCGAATCAGTGACATCTTTTAAATCTCTTCTTTAAACTTTTCTGTTCAAAAAAGCCTTTTATTATTTCAGCACACTGTTTGTTTTATATATGTCTCATCTGATTATTCTTTATTGTTTTTATCTTTTGTTGTCATCAGTTATTGTTTTAATCTATTTTGTAGTACTCTCATTGTTTTATTTGTTGTACCTCAGTGCAATCTACAGGGCAATTAGTTGCCAACTCTGCTTCAGTGATGCTATTTTATCTTTGATGTTCTTTGTATTTTCTAAAAATTGCCTCGTTTTATTTTCTTGAATCTGGCATTGTTTTAAATCCAGAATCAACCTTATCAACCACTTTGCAACTTTTTGAAAAGCACTTTATAAGTAAGGTTTATTATTCTTATAGTTTTTACATCCTGCACTGTCACAAGCACGAGCCTCACGTGCTTCCTTCTCCTTAGTGATACAGTTGGCAGGTGTAGTTCTGTACAAAGAAAATAGTTCCTACATGAAACTGCTCACAACAAGGTCCGTGGATTATCTTGACTAACCAGGTTATGATTTCTGCAAAGAGACATTGCTGTTGAGGTTTTCAAATGTATGTTTTTGGCGCTTTGAGCACCACAAGCTGAGTGCCATCTAGTTCCAATATATTGGACAAAAGACAGACATCTCTACAGCTGATATCCCCAACACTCTGCAACTCACACCAAGAAAATCTAGACTGATAAATAGCACTACAGGTAAGATGCAAAAAAAGATTTTGGGGTGAACTGTCCCTTTAAAAATGTCTTTGGAATGTATGTACTGCAATTTATTTGTACTAACTTGCTGATACAGATATATGCATTGGTTGAGCTCTAATTGAAGTCCAATGTAATTTAAGCTGACCACAGCTGCTCTTCTCTAAACTCAAAGGAACCAGAGTTTTTCTGTTCCAAAGAGCCGTCCTGCATTTGGAGCATGATATTATAGAGGACGTCTCCAGGCATGATAGTAACCAGCAGACAGGCTTATACAGCCTCAGGTGTTGAGATTAAGAATAGTGTATGAAACCAGCCAGGTAGCTTCTGTAATGTGAAACAACTTTCAACACTGTGTGTCCTAAACACAAAGTTCAATGGTGTGACTAATACCTTGAGCAAACACACTTAATCTGATTGCTGGTGCTGTATTAACACACTTCAACATATTTCATCAGCCTATTGTGTCGGCCATCAAGGCGAGCCTCGTTTCTTTCTCTGGGATGAATCTCTTTAATGGGCACAAATGATTATTATCTTTCTAATGAGTTCCAACATGTTGCTGCTTAACATAATAACAGAGAGCTTCATTTAAATGCAGATTCTCCCCCAGCGTGTCCTCCTCCCACTCAGACTCTACACACTGTCAGGGACAAATCCAGGTAATTAACTCAGCACCACCTGGTGGGCGAAGGAGGAACCACTCGAGTGTAAGCACTGACCTGGACATTAAACTGTGTTAACCCTTTGAAACCTGAGCAAGTTGGCTTGATTTCTTTTAAAAACATGAGAAGAAGGCAATGAGCTAGAAGAAATGACCAAAAAATTAGCAAGAAATTATTAAAAAGATCAAATGAAAAACAAGAAAATTGGTAACAAAAATAAAATTAAAAAAATTAAAAATAAAATTAAAAACAAACATACAAGGAAATAACCCGTAAAGAGCATTTAAAAATTCTTATTATTATATTATTAAAATTCTGTTACATAATTTAAAATCTACTTATAATAAAAAATCTATGTTTTTTCCCTAGCTTTTTTCCCTTTTTAAATAATTTTCTAAATATAATATTTATTTGCAATATGTGGGACATTTCTCACCAAGTTGCTCATTGCCTTTGTTCACATCTTTCTGAAAGAAATCACACCAATTTCCTCAGAGTTTAAAGGTTAAAATACTTGCAAACAGTGTCTGAGAGTAGGACAAGAAAAGTGATGTCGCTTCAGGTTTCAATGAGTAAACAATTAATTTTAAAAACTCACAAATTCTGTGTAAGTCCAAGTTGTGTCCTTCCTCTGAGTACATACGGTGAAATTAAATTTAAAAATTTCAGAATTAGAAGACATTAATTATGACAACTTTTAAATTTAAATCGAAATGGTGACAATGAGTGAGTTTATGTTTATACAACTAGTTTACCATTTTAACACAGAAAATGTTTTAAATAAAAATAAAAAATTAAAACAGTGTTAATGGTGAAGTATATGGCTTCAGTAACAGTAAAATAAATCTGTATTAGGCCTGAGATCTGACGTCTACATTTGAAAATGTAAAGATAAAATATTGTATCAGGCTAATTCAACACCTTTGTGTGGTACATATTTTTTATATTTATCATATTTTCTGTAAATGTTAATTTTAATATTAGTCACCACAGCTATCCTGTCTGATGGTCTCAACGGTGTTTCACGGCCTTTTAGGTAAAATAAAATAAAATAAAATAAAATAAAATGATAAAGAAGATAATAAAATTCCAGCATTTATTACAGTAGATTGTTTGTTTGACGTTCCACCAGATTCCTGTCTCATAACCTCGAGCACCGCTCCATCGACATCATCATCACGTTCCAAATGTTTTTCTTCTGAAAGGATTTTAAAGTTGATGTTACTCAACACTATTAACTGAATGTTGTTACAATACTTTTTTCATATGAGACACAGATGGCCCAGAATTGTTTTTGCTTTGCCTTTTTGTCTCGGTAGCTTTGGCCAAATTTGTATCCATACTCATATGACATGGAATTGCAGATGCTGGACATTTAAACCATACATACATCCATTCCATTTAGCTTTCTATGACAACTGTTTCTCCCTGCTTGATAAGTCCCCAGGTTGGTGGAAGGTGCAGTTGTCTCATCGTAGCTTGTAATTTAGTAGTTATTGTGAGGATAAATACGCTTAAGATCAGCCTCAGTAATTTGCTTTCCACTTGCATGTTTGTGTGTCCACATGTGGATATATTTGTTTTACCAAATAACAATTTCTTCTTCTTTTTTTTTTTTAATTAACTGAACTACTAGTCCGTCTTTCCAAGTGTTCCCTGGAGTACAAGGACCTTTTTTTAGGCCAACCTGCTGTCTCTATGTCTGCACTATGGCTGGACTATTACCGAGCACAAGTCTAACATCGTTTAGACCTGTCTAGCTAAACTGGACTAGGGCTGCAACCTTCAGTTATTATCCTGATCGATATATCTGCCAATTATTTTGTCCAAATCCAGTCATAATTGGATGTCCAAGGTGATGTCTTTCAACACTAATTTGTCCCAGAGCCAAATATATTCTATTAACTATTATTAAAGGGTAACAAAATCAGAAATATTAACATTTTAAAGGTGTTGAACTAGTTTACTGTCTAAATTTTGGCTTAGGAAATGACTTAATTGATAACCAAAATTGTGCTAAAGCTTTTTGTGGATAAACTGATCGACTTGTTGTTTCAGCTATAGTCTAAACCAGATATTGCTCCTGAGAAAGCGACAGAGCAGCATCACATGTTTGCCTCTTTGCGGCCTTGTTAAGCCAGAAAATAATTGATCTGATCTTACATCAGACTGAAACGCAATCGCTGGTACCATCAGTAACAGTAAGTGGCAGTATGCAGAATTAACAGTATGCAAGGGGGCAAAAAGCAACAGTGGTCACTCTGTGCCAAAAGTAACAGCCCAATATTCAGTCACTGCCTCTCAATCAGTCACCTTTGACCCAGAGTCTTTGTCCAGCTCATCGTCCCCGTTGCTTTGAGCCGAGGGTTCCTGTGTTTGGATGGCAGGAGGCTGCAGTACAGCGTGCTGGTCCTACAGGAGTACAGACACAATGTGCCATAAACTCAGACTTTCTCTGATCCACATGTCTGATCTGAGGCCAAACGTTCAGCTGTGTCAGTGCTGGCTGAGGATAACAAACAGCAATTTGCTTGCTGTGTTTTTTCCCTGCACCATCTGGGTGTGGATAAATGTTTGTTTTAGTGCCTGTTTGAACAATTCATGTGCCGGGACATTAAAACCAACAGCATAAAATACATTTAATCCTTCAAATCTATGATTACACGCTCAAGTTTATTGCAGGAACAATATGTAAAAGTACTTCCAGAGGATTATTGTGCATTAACGGGCACACAGTGTTTATTTTCACAAGAGTTTAGTGCTGCGTCTATGCATTAGTTTTAAATGGTGCTGTCCTTTATGTAAAGACAAACCCTTTGACCTTCCCTTTAGTCTCATAGTGGCTTACTTATTCTGTTGAACAGTCTTCCTCTGTGTAAACCGTCATTAAATGCTGACACATGGTAGTACGGAGAAAAGGAAGTGGACACAAAGATGGCTTTCTTTAGAAATAAATGTGTCATTCACATGAAGACTAAACACTGCGTGCTGGAGAGATAGCACAGCGAGTCGCATTGTAGCAGCCAGAGTTGTTGCTGAATCACACCGGCTCATAACACAGTTTGTTTTTATACACAGAGAGCTGACTTTAAATTCACCTCTGCAGCACCGTCTGGCTCTCCACATGACATCGGCTCATCCTGTTGTTCCTTCTGTTGAGGAGAAGTCGTCGAGGCGTCCGTCGTGTCCCACTGTGCAGTAGCCTGAGCTCTGGCAGGGCTCGAACTTCTCTGTACGTCCCTGTCTATCCCGAGATGTTTGGTGTCTCGCTCATTCAGCATTTGACTGTATTTCTTCTTCAGGACAAGATACTTCTCCCCCTGTGACAAAGACAGTCAGTTAGCACCGCTATTTACACCTGCACGTACACTCAGCAGCCACTTTATTAAGTACACCTTGTTAGTACCAGGTTGGACCCCTTTTGCCTTCAGACCTGCCTCAATTCTTGGTGTCATAGATTCAACAAGGTGCTGGAAACATTCCTCAGAGATTTTGGTCCATATTGACATTATGACATCACACAGTTGCTGCAGATTTGTCGGCTGCACATCCATGATGAGAATCTCCCGTTCCACCACATCCCAAAGGTGCTCTATTGGACTGAGATCTGGTGACTGTGGAGGCCGCTGGAGTACAGTGAACTCATTGTCATGTTCAAGAAACCAGTTTGAGATGATTTGAGCTTTGTGACATGGTGCGTTATCCTGCTGGAAGTAGCCATCAGAAGATGGGTACACTGTGGTCATAAAGGGATGGACATGGTCAGCAACAATACTCAGGTAGGCTGTGGTGTTTAAATGTCTGGCACCAACAACCATGCCACGTTCAAAGTCACTTAAAATGCCTTTCTTTCCCATTCTGATGCTCGGTTTGAACTTCAGCAGGTCGTCTTGACCATGTCTGCAGCCTAAATGCATTGAGTTTCTGCCACATTGTGAGCAGATTAGCTATTTGCATTAATGAGCAGTTGAACAGGTAATAAAATGGTGGCGAGTGTATATTCCTGGGGGCCCTAGCAATGTTAAAATATGACGTTAACTCAAACGGGTCTATGCAGCTTTTCTGCTTGAGTGTATGTACCCAGTGTGCATTCAGCAGCTTTATACATGAAGTAATAAGTTAACTAAGTATAAAAATAACAAGACAAAGGTGACCCATGTTTCCTGCATGAAAGTCCTGTGCTTCGACCACATCTTACTTCCTCTGTGTCGCTCTTTACACTATGACATCTGACATTATGGCAGTACATTTCTACATTTTTTTTATCATAAATGCACCACTTCATGCTCAGAGAATATTTGAGATTTATTTACTCGTTATTTGACAAGGACATTGCTTCATATGTAAAATACATAGTAGATGAAATGCATACAGGTTTCTAACCATGGCTAATTTGAAATTAACAATGACTGTTATTTAAGTATGTGGTCTGTGTGTGTTTGTTTCTGTGTGTACATGTCTACACACATGTGCATGTGTATATATGTGTGACCTTTGAGATTATTTTATAATGTAAAGCGTGTTACAAATAAAATGTATTATTATTATTATTATTATTATTATTATTATTATTGACCTGCACAGTCAGTGTTCACAGGCTGCTTCATTTTAACCTCAGCTAGCCCTAGCCACGACCTCTTTGTCCAATCCTAACTGCTTCTGACCTTTATGCTTCAGCATGATGAGCACTAGCCAATCACCGCACGCATTGGGATCCACAGAAACGCATCATAGGGATGGGTATAAATAGCCGAATAGCTGCAGTGTGACTGTTCACACCTGGATGTAACTAGACACTGTGTGTTTCTAAAGTCTACCTCTACTCAGAAATGTGTTTTGCTGATTGTTGCTTCACTTGGATGTTTGACCGTCACTGTGCAGAATGATGTATGTGCAGTTTGACATGTTTCCACATGCATTTGCTGAAGGGGAAAAGTGTCCCTGTGCTCTCATGTACAAGTTTAAGATGTGTATTTTGGCTGTTTTGGAAGTCAGACTCTGTCGAATACACAGCTGATGTGGAAATTTGAAGCCTTCAGCACACAGATATGGACTTTTCAGTGAAGTAGGAGTCGTTTTATGTCTTGTAGTTAAACTTTTAAATGGACAATATTTACATCTGTGGATATTCTTAACGTTTTTTTGTAATGGAAGGGAAGGAAGAGAATTTTAAAGAAGGTAATTTAACTTTTTTTGTTACAAAATATACCAGACGCGACTATTTTTTAACATAAAGATCACTATGGATCACTTGCACATAGACTCATATTAATTCATTTATTTTGGGGATGCACAATAATATCAGCACGCCATTGGTATCGACCGATATTGGCTTTAAAATGAAATATCAGAATCGGCCAACATGCTTTTACATATTTTGTATAATGAATAAATCATGATAAGAGTATGCACGCATAACATGATGTTAATTCCACTATAGAAGAGACTTGATAATCATTAAAATTAGGTAGGAAAGAAAGTGGATTGATCGATATCGGTATCAGTTATCGGCCAATTGAGTTGTTACATATCAGCATATCAGATATTGGCAAAAAAAACAATATTATGCATCCCTAATTAATTTTCCTACATATATATTCATACCTACTGACAGACTGTTTGACAGATACAATTAGACTATTGACAGACTGCGCATATGTTCATTCCCCGACCAGTGCAGATATCTGAGGCTAACTCCTCATTGTTCTACCTTACTTTATCTTTTTGTTTAATTTGTACTTATTTTTTTATTCTTATCTCAGTTTGGCTCTGTACTCTTACTCTTTGTGTTTCGTTCTCATTGCTGCTATGACACCTAAATTTCCCTCTGTGGATTAATACAGGTTTATTTTATCTCATCACATCTCTACTGCCATTTGAACCCAATTATTCAGGGATCAGGTCACAAGAGAGCTTAGTCACTCTGCACATAAACTGTGGCAGGACCAGTTTAAACCTTCAATGGAACAAGCATCATTAATTTTGTCAACATGTGAAAAGAGATCATAAAAATAGTTTCAAGGAAAATGAAGACTGCAGTTTCAGTCCCCTGGGGGAAACCAGTGGGTACAAACAGTTCTGTAAAAACAGAAAAACAAAGATTCGAAACTGCTTGTTAAGTCATGATACCTCACTGGAACATTTATTAGCAGTGATATATGTGACTGTTCATGCCGCAGTGTTGACATACAGTACAGGCCAAAAGTTTGGACACACCTTCTCATTCAATGCGTTTTCTTTATTTTCATGACTATTTACATTGTAGATTCTCACTGAAGGCATCAAAACTATGAATGAACACATGTGGAGTTATGTACTTAACAAAAAAAGGTGAAATAACTGAAAACATGTTTTATATTCTAGTTTCTTCAAAATAGCCACCCTTTGCTCTGATTACTGCTTTGCACACTCTTGGCATTCTCTCCATGAGCTTCAAGAGGTAGTCACCTGAAATGGTTTTCCAACAGTCTTGAAGGAGTTCCCAGAGGTGTTTAGCACTTGTTGGCCCCTTTGCCTTCACTCTGCGGTCCAGCTCACCCCAAACCATCTCGATTGGGTTCAGGTCCGGTGACTGTGGAGGCCAGGTCATCTGCCGCAGCACTCCATCACTCTCCTTCTTGGTCAAATAGCCCTTACACAGCCTGGAGGTGTGTTTGGGGTCATTGTCCTGTTGAAAAATAAATGATCGTCCAACTAAACGCAAACCGGATGGGATGGCATGTCGCTGCAGGATGCTGTGGTAGCCATGCTGGTTCAGTGTGCCTTCAATTTTGAATAAATCCCCAACAGTGTCACCAGCAAAACACCCCCACACCATCACACCTCCTCCTCCATGCTTCACAGTGGGAACCAGGCATGTGGAATCCATCCGTTCACCTTTTCTGCGTCTCACAAAGACACGGCGGTTGGAACCAAAGATCTCAAATTTGGACTCATCAGACCAAAGCACAGATTTCCACTGGTCTAATGTCCATTCCTTGTGTTTCTTGGCCCAAACAAATCTCTTCTGCTTGTTGCCTCTCCTTAGCAGTGGTTTCCTAGCAGCTATTTGACCATGAAGGCCTGATTGGCGCAGTCTCCTCTTAACAGTTGTTCTAGAGATGGGTCTGCTGCTAGAACTCTGTGTGGCATTCATCTGGTCTCTGATCTGAGCTGCTGTTAACTTGCGATTTCTGAGGCTGGTGACTCGGATGAACTTATCCTCAGAAGCAGAGGTGACTCTTGGTCTTCCTTTCCTGGGTCGGTCCTCATGTGTGCCAGTTTCGTTGTAGCGCTTGATGGTTTTTGCGACTCCACTTGGGGACACATTTAAAGTTTTTGCAATTTTCCGGACTGACTGACCTTCATTTCTTAAAGTAATGATGGCCACTCGTTTTTCTTTAGTTAGCTGATTGGTTCTTGCCATAATATGAATTTTAACAGTTGTCCAATAGGGCTGTCGGCTGTGTATTAACCTGACTTCTGCACAACACAACTGATGGTCCCAACCCCATTGATAAAGCAAGAAATTCCACTAATTAACCCTGATAAGGCACACCTGTGAAGTGGAAACCATTTCAGGTGACTACCTCTTGAAGCTCATGGAGAGAATGCCAAGAGTGTGCAAAGCAGTAATCAGAGCAAAGGGTGGCTATTTTGAAGAAACTAGAATATAAAACATGTTTTCAGTTATTTCACCTTTTTTTGTTTAGTACATAACTCCACATGTGTTCATTCATAGTTTTGATGCCTTCAGTGAGAATCTACAATGTAAATAGTCATGAAAATAAAGAAAACGCATTGAATGAGAAGGTGTGTCCAAACTTTTGGCCTGTACTGTATGAATACAGAATACATGGGAGCGGAGCCTTTTTCCACAAATGGTAAAAAATATTTGAATAGTTTACTCACATTCTCTGACTTCACCACAGCGATTCGGTCGATGATGAGCTTGAATTCCTCTCTGTATTTAGCTGCAGGGGAAAAACATTTGATGTGAAAAACTGAGGACTAAATATAGCTCCTAATTTCTCTCATTCAGTAAAACACAAGTGGTTCCAGCATCCAGAAATGTCAAATGAGGGCACAAAGAAATCGCACAAACTCAGCTTAATGGTTTTTGTTTGGATGACAGAAATTTTATGTGGGAATAAAATGAGCTTCAATTGAGTTTGATTTAATATCCACACATTAAAGGGTCAGTTTAGGTTTTTGAAATGGGGTTTTATGGGGTACTTATCCATAGTGAGTGTATTACATAGAGAAGATGTCAGTCAGCATGTTCCCAGTTTGGAGAAGCAGGCTGGAGTCCCACATGGAAGCTTAGCAGTGCACTGCTATGGACAAGGGCTGCAACAAAACCTATTTAACTCACCTAAAAAAATCAATAACAGTTTAAGTTTATGCTATGTTGAGAGTTTTTTCACCACTTTACCTTTCTGTCAGACAGCCTGTTTCAATGGGGAAGATACTAATGCCTTAAGCTCTCCATCTATGCTCTCCATCTTTTTAAGACCCGTTCAAGACACCTTTTAACCAAATTTAGGACAGATTTTTGGACAAATCATGCTCTACTTATTTAAGGATTGCAGGTAAGCACTGCAGGTAAGTCGTATATGTGGTCTTGTGCAAAGGTAAGTGTTATGTAGGAATACGATTATTAGAGTGAGTTAAGTCAATCTACATTTTGCTAACAGGTAATTGCAAGTATGAAGTAAAATGACAGTATTATATTTTTTGTAATGATTTGTAACATTAGAATGTAGACTTTAACATAGACATGCTTCACTCATTTACACAAAAAAGAAATTAAAAAATGGATAAATGAAATTAGATAAAATGTTTGTCTTAGTAAAGACATCACAAATTCAAATTTAAGACCATTTAATGACTTTTAAGGCCTTATTGTTGTAACACTGAATCCAAAACATTAAGATTTTTTAAGGACCTGTAGACAACATGAAAAGCCACCAGACTCCATTGACAAAAAAGTCATTCTAGCTCATTGGGAGCTGCTGGTCTACTGCTGCCTCTATCAGTTAGATAGTTCATGTTACTGTTCGGTGAATCCAAACTTACTCTTTTCAATGCCGAAGTCACACAAAAACTCAAACAAATCAAGTGTTAAAGGCAGCGGCAGACCTGCAGCTCCTGTATTCAGTGATGATAAAACACCATTTTTCTCAATGGAATCTGGCTTTACAGAGAGCAATATAATAGCTTCCTCTTCCAGTTGGAAATCACTGTCTGACAGCACAATAGTGTGGTAAAAATATTCTCAATATTGCATACAATATTTTTAACACTTTACCATGCCATCAGACAGCGATTTCCAACTGAAAAAGGAAGACGTTTTATTGTCCTCTTTAAAGCCAGACTCCATTGAGAAAAACAGTGATTTAACATTGCTGAACACAGGAGCTGCTGGTCTGCCGCTGCCTTAAACTATTGATTTGTTTGTTTTATTGTGTGACTTTGGCAATGAAAGGAGTTAGTTTGGATACACCAAAATCACACAGTAACACAAGGTACCTAACTGATCGAGGCAGCAGTAGACCAGCAGCTCCTGTGTTCAGCGAGCTAAAATTACTGTTTCTGTCAATGGAGTCTGGTGGATTTGATGAGAGCATAGATGGGAAACTGAGGACATTGATATCTTCTCTGTTGAAACAGGCTGTTTGAATGAAAAGTAAAGTAAAGCAGTGACACTTAAACTGATAATGATTTTTCCAGGTTTCTAAAATACATGTTGTTGCTGTCCCCTTTCACGTTGTTTAGTTTCCACGTCAGACTCCTGCCTGTTTCTTCTGGGGCGTGCCAACTGACTACTGTATGTACTGTCTATAGATAAGTACCACATACAGCCCCACTTCAAAACGTCTGAACTGTCCCTTTAAGTATTTCCAGAAAGAGATACAGCTATAATGTAATGGTGTCTGTTTACAATTGATGTGTGGTTTGTGAGCTTCAGTCTGCAGGATGAGTTGCTGATTTATGTTTTGAGGTGGTAAGAGGAAGGAGGACTGCTCCTTCCTGCAGTATACGTCTAGCTGACTAAGCTACTGTAGACGCAGCTCACATTGCAAACTATCAGTTGTGTCACTGACAAGATAGAGAGGAAAGATGTTCCCCTCCTGCAAAGATCCAAACAGATCACAGTGCATTCCCAAAGGCAACACCCTGAGTCACTGAGTAAATCTTTCCTGTGGGAACCAAACAAACTACAGCTGACAAGCTGATAGACCTCATCAGATAAAGCTATTCTCCTTTGTTTACAGCAGTGAGCAGATGTGTACAGACTGTGTGATTAAGAGCAGCCAGGTCGGCTACACAAGCAAGGAATTTTTCCAGGCGCAGATATTCCATTCATGCTTAGGTGTATATGGGCATGCAGCTCTGGACAATTGAAGTGTTTCCTTTTCCTGCTGTGGACGGAAAGACCATTCGTAATGAGATAGTTGCACCGCTCAACAACAACAGGAAATCCAAAGGAAGCAGCCACTTACATCTGTCTCAACAAAAGAATTCCTTGCTCACCAAAGTGAGTAACACAGTTAACATGCTAGTTATCTATTAGCCAAAGGTCTGCACAAACAAGCACCTCATGCAAACGTGCACATGTGCATGCACCCCCTCCCCCTGCACTGCCACATTTCCCACCATGCCCCAGTTTTCCGATGTGATGAAAAAGCAACCCCATTAGAGGTCTACATCCAGCCATGCATGTGGACTTAATTATGATTAAAACACTATCATCACAATTACGACATGGAAATCTGCAACCACATGCTATGACAGACTTCAAACGTCTGGGAAGCACTTTTCTAATTGGACAGACATGTCAGATGGCAGAGTATCAAGGCAGCTCTCTAAACCTCTGTCAACAACTGCAGTGCTGACATAGCATCTGGACAGAACATGCTGGCAGCAGCAATACAAGGTCACTCTGGATAATCATTTAGGGAGGTTAAAACATGTTTGTGTGTCAGGCAGTGCCAAAGGGAGAGGACACTGTTAAATGATAGATAATGGATCATTACAAGCTCGTTATTTGTCTTCTGGGGTGAGAATGTTTTGCAATCAAACTGCAGATATTCTGTCGTAGAACAAAATGTGAACATTTCTTAAGCTTGTGTTAATCACAAACCTTAACTCAGGCATCTAACAAAAACACAGTCAAAAAACCCATTGACTTTGAGACAAGGGAACCGGAAGTGCTAAAATGCTAACTCATATCCGCATTTTAGAAGTCATTCCTGGGGCCCCGCAATAAATCCTGTCTATCCCTCTGGACTGTGTAACCTTTAAAGCAATAAATAACACAGAATTCCTGGTACAAATTTTAAAAAGTTGAATTTATAAGGAGTAAATTGCAGTACTGCTGAGCTAATACATGCTGCTATAGCCTTACCTGGCCTGGTGTGACCAATAGCTTCTGGTGGCTAACATTAGCTAATGTTAGCTAACTTTAGCTACTCCTGGTTTAGGTCCAAGTGTTTACTTTTGATTTATTTTTGTGTTAAATCATTAAAATGGTTATGTGTGACATGTTCAAATATGTGAAAAGAAGAGAAAAGTTAGCAAACTTGGCCATCAAAATCACTCAGTTAGCCTACACAGCAATATCAAGCTAACCTAGGCTATCTAAAGTCTGCTAGCATTAGCTCTGCAAATAACTGTTATTTATATAATAGATTTTTCTGGTTTCTGGTTTATTATTTGGTGTATAAAACATCAGAAAGTGGTGAATAGTAATAATAGATTCCAAGGGGACATTTGTCTTGTTTGACTCCCAGTCCAAAACCCAAAATATTCTGTAATGTAAGAACAAGTAAAAGCAGTGGGATAACCTGTAGCTATCAAACATGTTGGCTTTTTTGCTTGAAAACTTGTTAGCAACTTCCTTTTTTAAGATGAACGAAGTCTTCAGGTTTTACCCGCGTATTTTATGTTGTAGAACAAAACGTGACTCTTAAGCTTGCGTTAACCACAGACCTTATTTCAGGCATCTAAGAGATTCAAAAAAACCATTAGACTTCAAACGACAGAACAAGAATGTGTTATGTCTTCTTTTAAAAGTTATATAGTGCAGATTTAAGGTGGAGCTGATAGTAATTATTTGAGGCATTGGTGGAAAGTACTTTTACTCAAGTAGCCTACTGTAAGTGGAATTTTGACATAGGCCTACTTGTACTGTACTCAATTATTTCCATTTTCTGCTACTTTATACTCTGTATCCACAATATTATTTGGGGACTTTAGTTAGCCTACTTTTTAAATACAAAAAACCCACATGATGTATGATATGATGCAGTAGGCTACTAATCTACACAGTTGTTTACAAAGTACATCAAACTGGCTCCACGTTAACAAACTACAACATTATAATTCTCTTACATCTGTGTTACAATCTTATAATCTACGTAATAATTTAGAGGAAAAGGTGCCAGGCTGTAGACGTACAGTACAGGCCAAAAGTTTGGACACACCTTCTCATTCAATGCGTTTTCTTTATTTTCATGACTATTTACATTGTAGATTCTCACTGAAGGCATCAAAACTATGAATGAACACATGTGGAGTTATGTACTTAACAAAAAAAGGTGAAATAACTGAAAACATGTTTTATATTCTAGTTTCTTCAAAATAGCCACCCTTTGCTCTGATTACTGCTTTGCACACTCTTGGCATTCTCTCCATGAGCTTCAAGAGGTAGTCACCTGAAATGGTTTCCACTTCACACGTGTGCCTTATCAGGGTTAATTAGTGGAATTTCTTGCTTTATCAATGGGGTTGGGACCATCAGTTGTGTTGTGCAGAAGTCAGGTTAATACACAGCCGACAGCCCTATTGGACAACTGTTAAAATTCATATTATGGCAAGAACCAATCAGCTAACTAAAGAAAAACGAGTGGCCATCATTACTTTAAGAAATGAAGGTCAGTCAGTCCGGAAAATTGCAAAAACTTTAAATGTGTCCCCAAGTGGAGTCGCAAAAACCATCAAGCGCTACAACGAAACTGGCACACATGAGGACCGACCCAGGAAAGGAAGACCAAGAGTCACCTCTGCTTCTGAGGATAAGTTCATCCGAGTCACCAGCCTCAGAAATCACAAGTTAACAGCAGCTCAGATCAGAGACCAGATGAATGCCACACAGAGTTCTAGCAGCAGACCCATCTCTAGAACAACTGTTAAGAGGAGACTGCGCCAATCAGGCCTTCATGGTCAAATAGCTGCTAGGAAACCACTGCTAAGGAGAGGCAACAAGCAGAAGAGATTTGTTTGGGCCAAGAAACACAAGGAATGGACATTAGACCAGTGGAAATCTGTGCTTTGGTCTGATGAGTCCAAATTTGAGATCTTTGGTTCCAACCGCCGTGTCTTTGTGAGACGCAGAAAAGGTGAAGGGATGGATTCCACATGCCTGGTTCCCACTGTGAAGCATGGAGGAGGAGGTGTGATGGTGTGGGGGTGTTTTGCTGGTGACACTGTTGGGGATTTATTCAAAATTGAAGGCACACTGAACCAGCATGGCTACCACAGCATCCTGCAGCGACATGCCATCCCATCCGGTTTGTGTTTAGTTGGATGATCATTTATTTTTCAACAGGACAATGACCCCAAACACACCTCCAGGCTGTGTAAGGGCTATTTGACCAAGAAGGAGAGTGATGGAGTGCTGCGGCAGATGACCTGGCCTCCACAGTCACCGGACCTGAACCCAATCGAGATGGTTTGGGGTGAGCTGGACCGCAGAGTGAAGGCAAAGGGGCCAACAAGTGCTAAACACCTCTGGGAACTCCTTCAAGACTGTTGGAAAACCATTTCAGGTGACTACCTCTTGAAGCTCATGGAGAGAATGCCAAGAGTGTGCAAAGCAGTAATCAGAGCAAAGGGTGGCTATTTTGAAGAAACTAGAATATAAAACATGTTTTCAGTTATTTCACCTTTTTTTGTTAAGTACATAACTCCACATGTGTTCATTCATAGTTTTGATGCCTTCAGTGAGAATCTACAATGTAAATAGTCATGAAAATAAAGAAAACGCATTGAATGAGAAGGTGTGTCCAAACTTTTGGCCTGTACTGTATGTCGCACATTTTAGTTGACGAAATGTTAAAACATTTTTTTAGTTTGGTGTATCCACCTTATTCCTAGCCCCCATGATACCTTGCGTGAATTATGGGTGCAACTTCCGGCGCTGAACTGAAACTAGCAATTTCCAATGGTAACAGTTTGTTTACAGTACTCTACTGTTATAGCTCAAACTGGATTATGTGATCATACCTCTGCCATCTCTGACAGCCATCTCAAAGCATTGTTATTTTTTTTCTTTTTAACTGAGCATGCTAGCAGTTAGCTAGCCTTGCTCCGTTAAAATACTGTTAACTTTAACATGGCCCAAGTTAGCTCAAGGTAAACATCTGCTCCTTCTAAAGATGATTTATGATTTCTAATGATTTATTAAAAGATACTAACACATCTGGCAAACATTTAACATAATTCAGTATTAACTGTAGCTCCATGTAAAGTGAATAAATGTGACGTTTCCCAGCTAATCCCTGCGATCGTCTGTGTTAACGGTTTTTTAACTTCTGATTTATTAAAAACTGTTATGAGTGAAACATGAAGCTGAGTTTAGCAGCAGACTTCAGTGATAATAATATAAAGTAGTGGTAAAAGAAATAACTTTTGGCATTAATTTTTTTATACAATATAAAGGAAGTGCGGTAAATTAGTAAGACATTCTCAGCCCTAATGACTAAATACATATATCAAGGTATTTGCTAATGTAGGTTGAGAATGAAGTCAGACGGGGAAAGACAGGGATATCATGTACTGACGTTGAGTGACGGACCTGTCATGTGTCATTCTCTGATTTAATACTTTTTCGCTATGTCTCACCAAACACTTGTGGTTTTATTTCTCATATCAATGGTAAACATGGCAACAGGAACAATCCCTTTTTGTTCTGGTTACATGTTCAACACACAGTTGCTGAAGACAAAAATGTAGCTCAGACTGGTTGTTCGTCGTCACAGACATTAGGAAATTGGGTGACTATTTGTTAAAAGGTAAATCAGTATAAGCGGAGGACGACGAGTACGAGTACGAGTACGAGTATTTGCTAAACTGAAGGCAAATTACTTTGGAAAAGAACCAGCGTTGGCGGTTAGCCACCGAGAGTAGCCACTGGGACTAACCACAGACAGTCTATGGGACTAACTAGCTTACTACTACTTCCGCTATCTCTCAGGAAGTTGTGCCCATAATCATTTCGACAGTAGTGCCCTCAGGAATAAGGTGGATAGGCTGCACACTTGTACAACTGAAGCATGTAAGAATCACTTCAGACATACAACAACGGTATAGGATCTTTAAAATATTAAAAAAAAAAGAAGTGTCAATGGAAAAAGCTCCATGTGGCTCCATAGCATAACTAGGTGTACACACGTAACTCCACTCCCGCAACATTTATCTCCAGCAGCCAGATATGAGAGGAATTTTGGTGTAAGCAATGATTCAGACCAGTTGCGTAAGTATATCTGTACAGTAAGTGGGTGGAGAGGAACAGCACAGACCCACACAGCAAATACAGTATGACTGAGATAATCTCTACTATGGTGGAGAATAGTGAATATATTATTATTCCTCATGTTGCTGAGGGGCCACAGTTGTGTCTGAGGAGCCACAGGGCCTCCATGTGACCCTGCATGGTGACATGTATCACAGTGATGGTTCTGTGTTCAGTTACCAGGCAGCTCCAACTGGCCTGAGGGAGGAAATGACACAATTCCTGCTGAAACTGTAGATCTTTGAGGGGCTTTTAATGCAAACCAGATGTCTGCTCTACAACACAGGAACAATGGAAGCTGTTGGTTAAAGCAGACTGATGAATGTTGCTGTTATGAAAATGAATTATGTTAGTCTAAATATGACAACAGGGGTGAATTGATATTTGTGCCATCTCTCAGTACCGATGCAGCGCGACCACACACACACACACACACACATACACACATTTCCCCATTTTTCCGGTTAATATTTTCATCGATGTGAAACCATGAGGCAACGACTCGCTACTTACCACGTAACTGCAAGTCACTGTGGCCAATAAAGGGCTTAAATGTCTTGAGTATATCTGCATTTTTGACTCTGCCTGAGCTGCCTCCGGTGGAGTAGAAATAATCCAGCAGCGACTCTTCACTCACATCACTCATCTCTGCTGTCTGTCTGTCTGTACCCGCTGTCTGTCTCTCTGTCTGTCTGTAGACCTGGACCAGCCTCTACTTTAAAGATGGGTTCACTTCTCTGGGTGTTTTTCACTCAGCCATGATGCAGTCCTCTTCAGGCTAATTTGTTGTAGTAAACTTCACTCCACCCAGACGAGCTGACCGCTGCTGCGCCTCCTCCTGTTAACCCTTTAAAAGCACCAGCATCTTAGTTTTTCCACAGTGTCTCTGCATTAAACCGGAGCTGCTGTAATCTTAGTTTTTCCACTTTCTTTTACTATTTATTGCATTTACCACAATGCACGAGGCCACATTTAAAGCGTGTCTGCGTTATACTCAATATTTAAAGTGACCGTGAACGTCTCATATTCTAATAGTGCTCCTAAATAGCAGTTATATGGTGTTATGCCTTGTTATATAGCCTAGCTTTCTGTCCAAAATATATCCAATGGAGGAAGAAGTACTCAAATATTTTACTTGAGTAAAAGTAGCTATAGTAGCATTAATAATAATAACAACAACAAAAGTAAAGGTAGGCCTACCATACTTGAGGTACCAAAAATAAAGGTACTCATTGTGCAAAATAGCCCATTACAGAAAAATCCATAGACCTGCTGTATGACTGGTTTATAATATGTGAAGCATTAATGTGTTCACTTTAATGTTGTAATAGGTAGATGTGTTTTTACATTATATACTGCTGGATAGCTTGTTAATTTCACCATGATCAACAAATTATCACAGTATTATTTATTCATGATTATACATTATAATTTGTTTGTTGATTTATTTTTATTATTATTAATCTGAATTGGCAAAGTAACTGAAGTTAACAAACTAAAGTACCACATTTGCCTCTGAATTGTTCAGGAGTAGAAGTGTAAAGTAGCATTCAATGGAAATACTGAGCACTTGAGTAAAAGTACTTAGTGACGTAATTTCTCCTTTAAACCAATGATTTTTAACAGAGGGTACTGATGGTGGTCATTTATTGTGGTAGGGAAGGTAATTGTTAATCAGGTTTTGGGGCGCCCACTAGTTCACCTGGTTGAGCAGGCGCCCCTTGTATGAAGGTTGTGTCCTTGCCGCAGTGGCCGTGGGTTCAATTCCAAGCCATTGCCCTTTGCTGCAAGTCAACCCCCCTCTCTAATCAAAAAATGGCAAAGAAAAAAACAAATGTATCTTTAGAAAATGAAGATGTTCAGGTTTTAATGGGAGAAACATATTTGGTGTGACAAACCTGACAGATTGGAGGTGCTCCTACATCGTGCAAACATACTCTTTCCTAGCAGATTATTTGTAACACAAAGCAGCAACTTTGAAATCTAAATAATCATTGAAGTCATTTTGAAGCAAAATGGCCACAACTTAACAATTTCATCATCTCATACAGGGCCATAATCACATATTTAACTTTCAGGGCAACCATTTTCAATCCTTATGTTCTGCTACTGACCATTTAGAGTATTTTTAAACAAAAAACTTCAGCGTTTGTCAAAGTTTTATGACTGAGTGCCATTTTAGGGAGCCAGCATATGACTGAGGACCTCACAGAAAAATGCACACACTGTGGCTTTTTTATGAGCTTTTAAATGGCATACTAACACTTTACAGAAACCACTGACAGTAAAACTCATATTTCATTCTAGTTTTCCGCTTTTTAATACATTACAAAATGGTAAATTAAAGAGACAGAACAGTGTTTGTCATTTTTTTGTACCCACCCACAGTAGTCGAGCAACAGCTTACCCTAGGGGACGACTACGGAGGGACATTTTAAGCATGCCCCTTCTCCCTATTATATATTTTATTTACATTTTTATGACTGCCTAGTTCTCAAATGTGAATATTTTCTGTTTTGTGTTTTGTCAGCTGAATGTCTTTGGGTTTTGTACTGTTCAGATTAGACGAGACATTTAAACATATTATCTTAGAGCCTGTCACTGACATTAAATAGACCAAACTAGGGTTGCAACGGTATGAGATTTTCACAGTACGATAACTGTCTCAGAAATTATCACAGTGTCACAATGTTATAGAATTATTATTATTATTAATATCAATCAGAATGACCATTAAAGGAATGAAAACAGAAAGGTTATTTTGGGTTAACCTTTTCAAACCTGGAGCGACATCGCTTTTCTTGTGTAGTATTTAAACCTTTGATCCCTGAACTAATTGGTGTGATTTCTTCCACAAACATGGACAACTAGGTAAAAAATGTCACACAAATTGCAAAAAATTAATACATTCAGGAAATTATACTTAAATAAACTAGGGGAAAAGAAGAAAGCTAGGGAATAACTATTTATAATCAATATTATTACATTTCAAATTAATTTACAGAATATTTCTAAAAATTTTAAGCAGTTTTTCCAGGTGATTTCCTTGTTTGTTTGTTTTTAACTTTCTTTCTTTCTTTTTTACTAATTTTCTTGTTTTTAATTTTCTCTTTTCACTAATTTCTTGCAGTTTTTTGGGTCATTTATTTCCGGCGTTGTTGCTCATTGCCCTCTCCCCATATTCTTTTAAAGAAATCAGGTTTCAAAGGTTGAACAAACGATTTATTACTATAATGAAAACTTGAAACCATTTTTAAATGAAAGGATGTGTAAAAAGTCCCCCTTTTGAAAAGAGCTTAGATAAAGGTGAGATTCTCAGTCTGATTGCATGTTTTTTTCAATACTGTAGATAAGCAAACGTACACGGTATAATAATTGTCATTTTCATATCACGATATACCTTAAAACCAGTATACTGCTGCAACCCTGGACCATGTAACTGACTAATTGAGAAAATAATGAGTAGATTACTTCATAATGGAACTAAGTGTTTGCTGCAGCCCTATAGAGTTAGGTCTTCTGTATAAATTGTGGCCACTGAGACAGAGGCTTAGTAATCATGATAACTGTTATCATATGAAACAGTGGCATCTGATTAAAACCTTCACTTTAACTGGACTTTATCACATCTATCATTTGTCTCACAGCTAGAAGCATTTGTTCCAAGCTCCCTTTGGTATGTCTGGTTGGCTAAACTGCAGTAATTCAGTGCAGGGTTTGGCACACGACCCCATTTTCAGGTCTTTTTTTTTTTTTTTTTTTTTTTTAGTTTTAGGAGCCAGGACTTGATGTTTAGATCTATAACCTGTAGTTACCACAATGAAGCCAAGTAAGGATCAAACTTGTGAAGTGAAAATTGTTGTTGGTTAAACTGCAGATATTCATCTTTGCATGTTGCATTTGGACCACAGCCCCCACTCCCACTGCCCCGCCCGCTGTGCACGCCAGTGATAATGGTGGAGGGCCAGTCAGTTCAGGTATTAGACACACGACACATTGTCAGATTAATTGTGCGATTGTTCTGTAAATATTAAATGTGTGGGACTTACACGTTAATCCCTCTGTCCTCCTCTGGTATAGCTTCTCTTTGAGCGAGTCTCCATTTAATTTAGAAATGGGTGATTTGTATTTCGTGTTTTAGGCCGCTGCTCTAAGAAGACAATATTGTAATTACAGTAAGCTTCTTATACGCTGATACAATTATTGAGGTGAGGAGTTTATATTGTCGTGTGAAAGTGGGACCTTATGCTCTTTCAATTTGGAAAACAAAACAACTTTTCCCAGGATAAAGACATTTGATCCTCGAGCATATGCCGCGTCTTTGTGGAATGAATTTATGCCAGAGAGCAGCTGGCAATACATTATCACCTTGATACCACTGTCAGGGGGGAAATGGGGGGAGCGTCAGCCCTGAGTCAGGAGTGCTCAGATATTTTACTGAAGTGAAAGTCAATATAAAAATATACAAATTCTCCATTGCAAGTGAAAGTCCTGTGTTTTAAAGCCTTCTTTGATCTTCTTTGATGTATTATCAGCTAATCTGACCAAAGGTATGAAAAGTTAAAGTATTCATTTTGAAGAAAATTACAGATTATGACATATATATTACATTTTTAGACTGTTAATACTGATGCAACAGGAGCAGTTTACTATTGTAGTTAATCAAAGTGGAGCTACTTTATTTATTCATTTATTTTAGATACAGTTAGGTAGTTTAGTTCAGTGGTTTCCAACCTAGGGGTCAGGCCCCTCCAGAGGCTCACAAGATAAATCTGACAGGTCGAGAGAAGATAAATGTGGCAGGGATATTCTACAGTCTTTGCTTTTTTTCGTGCAACATTGGACACTTTTACCTCTTTGGGCCTCGGACAGTTATTCAAATCAAACCATGGGAGAAGTTTAAAGGAGATATGTTTTTCTTGGGGGAACTGCTGACAACTGTTGGACTTCTGAAACGTGAAAAAGACAGCTTTTTTCAAAAGCCAATAAGCTTCTATAAATTATGTTGCATTTTGTCAGCACATAATTTTTCTTCTGCATTAAATCGTAACCTGAAAAGACTAATTTCATTACATCTGGCAAATAAATGTATTGGACAGGGATGTAACTATAGACAGGGCAGGCAGTGCGATTGCACCGGGACCCCTCAGGTGGAGGGGCCCATTGAGGGAGCAGGCCCTTGCAAGTAACTCAGATTGCCACTATGGAAATATACCTGTTTTTAAAGATAAATAATAGATAAAAGAGAATAATATCAGTTTCAAAAATGGTGCCATTTGCTATATATGTCCACAAAAAGGCAAACCCATCTGTGTCATGGTTTACTTTTTTTTATTTTTCAAATAGTATGTAGCTATCTAAAACAAAATGATATGCGTTCTCTGTATAAGCTATGAAATCTATTAATATACTTTAAAATTAAATTATTATTTTTTTTATATATATATATTTTTGTCAGATATGCAGTGCTGATTGCTGGGTAATATGTATGTTGATGCTGTCCAATGTCAAGTCTCTATTTGTGTCAAGACAATACATGCACTATAGCGTTCACTAGGGCCCATAATAATAGTGTGCACTGGGGCCCGTCATGACTTCCTTACGCCACTGGTATTGGAGTAAAAAGTAGAATATTCCCCTCTGAAATCTTGTGGAGTTGAAGTATAAGGCATCATAAGATGGAAATACTTAAGCAAAGTACTAGTGCCTGAAAATCCCACTTCATTACAATACTTAAGTCAATGTATTCAGTTACTTTCCACCACTGAACGATACAGCACAGTAACTTGAAATGGT